TAAAAAAACAAAACAAAATAAGGTCAGAGAAAGCTTTTTCATCTCACAGTTAACACAAATTAGGTTTTTGTTCTTTTCAAGTCGTTCATAAAATTCAACTGAACACGAAACATGAGGTTGTTTTTTATTTCCTACTTGTATCGTCACGCTAATGCTAACACCATCATACTAACAACAACAACAATCAACAAAGCCCCATTTTCAGCATAGAAACTGTTTAAACACATCCAGTTACAAATACTGACAAGTACTATGTGTATTAAATGTGAAATTAATAATACAAACTACTGTTAAAAGTAAAAAGAATTTAACTTACAGTTGTTAGGGGGTTTGATGGTGGTCGACTTGAGTCCSCCTGCTGGCCATTTGGAACACGGCAAATACTTCCCTGTTGGCCGCTGCAGTCTTTTTCACGCATGCTCAGTATGACGTTCGATCGATTATTTCAGTGTTCTTTGCATAATGTTTGTTATTTTGACAGCTTCTCAGGGTAGAAGAATTGTATTTGTAAATTTGTGATTGACTTAAATGTACAAATTTATACTCTTACACATACAATTCTTTCTGGCAGTTACCTTACACCACATAAATCCCTCTGTCAAGCTAGAATGGACTGCTCTCTTAGGATTTAAAGATACAGCATCAAAACAAGTTGATCTGAGACACACATCAGAACATGTGGGGTTTGTGGAGTTGTGGAGATATTCAGACCAAAACATAAATCCCAACTGAATGAKTTAAATGTGGAAAAGGATTTAAAAGTGTGAAATGTCTACTTTAACACAAGTTAGAAACCAGTTCAACTCAATACAGACATGCATATAAACATGTTGTATCAGGTTGTCGTTGCAGTCATTAACTGTAGATTCTTGTAGGGTTTTGAATATTTACATCCATTTATTTTTGAAGCAAGTAATTAGTTGGAAATTCACTGAGTTATCATGTCATTATCAAACTGATTCCATATAAAGTAGCACTGAAGAGATAAATATAATTTCCTGTCACATTGCATTAAATACATGTACATTTCATATGCAGTCAGATACAGAAATGTTAGGCATTAAACTGGATCCCTGACTTACTGACAACACTGACCGCCAAAGAAACTCAGAGTTCATAAAAGGGTATTTACACCTAGGGTTTGAATGGTATCATGCAGGGCAGACTGTAGGTAAGATCATTAATGTGATTTGAGGTCATTTTTCTGCTAACAGGGATGTTTGTCTTTGGGCTTTTCTAGCTAATTTGTTACCCAGTAAATTGTAGCATTTGGCCTCATTACTGGAGGGTTGTGCTGTAGCAGAACAGTCAATATTCCACACAACAATTTAAGAGAGTAAATTTTCTTCTTTATCCTCTTTTCTGTCCAAATGTCTAACATGTTGATCTTTGCAAACTGTATTGATTAGTTGTCTTATTATCATATCATTACATTAGTTTATGCAAATGTATATTTTTAGACTGATATCCTTTTGTCTTCAATGATCAAACCGACAACAACTAAAGAAAATCTGATGCTTTTACAATATTTGACTAAACACATGAATGATATAAATTTAAGAGATTGTCACAATTTGTATTTTTCTGTTGTTGTTTTGTGACAGTTTTTGTGTTTAAATGTTTAATTGTTTACTGTTTTGTTTGTGGATAGTTTGTATTGTGTTCCTTTATGCCACAGTTAAATTCTGTTCCTCAGTCCTGCTACACCCACCTACACCTGGGGCCTCATGCATGAAGGATTGCACAGCTTTCACACTAAAAGTTGACGTACGGAAAAATTTAGAAAAGTGCRCCGCACCAAAAAATTTGGATGTCTAAAACTGTGSGCACGCATGTTCCTGTGTGGAGGACCTCAGTTTAGCTTGTTTGTCGCACTAGCACCGAGCTAATACATATAAGGCAATATAGCGTCAGTGCTAGCACAAAGGCTAACAGGCTAAGCTGAG